ACTCTGTGCCCTACCAATTGCAGATTGACTATCACAATGAATGCAAATAGCAGGCACAGGTTTAGACCAACGTGGAATATCTTTCAACGAATTGGCGAAGCCATTCAGCTTCTTCAGTTGCTTTATCCAAAGCAATAAACTCAAATTCCATCGTTGATCTCGATATACACGTTTTCTTGGAAGACTTCCAAGACACGGCTGCCCCTCCGAGGGTAAACACATAACCACTAGTGGATTTGGAGTCCTTTATTTCAGATATCCAATTAGCGTCACTATACCCCTCCAGTACTGTTGGGTATCTGGTATAATGCAACCTATAATCCCGGGTTTAGCGTAGATAACCTAACACCCTCATAATGCCTCTCCAATGAGTGGCATTTGGATTACTCATGTATCTACTAAGCCTACTAACAGAGTATGCTATATCTGGCCTTGTATAACTCATCAAATACATCAAACTTCCAATGACCCGAGAATATTCTAGCTAACAGACACTCTCACCATTATTCTTCGTCAAATGTAGACTCACGTCTACCGGTGTGTTAGATACACTTGTATCTGGTTTACCAAATTTCTCAATTATCTTCTCAACATAGTGAGATTGAGAAAGTACGATACCACTAGATGTTCTGGTAATCTTAATACCTAGAATGACATTTGCGAGACCCATATCTTTCATGTCAAACTTTGAGTTTAACAATCTCTTGGTAGTTCGAACCATTTCATCATTACTACCAACAATGAGTATGTTGTCTACGTATAGACACAAAATGACGTAACCTCTATCAGTGTCTTTAACATATATGCATTTGTCACACTTATTGATTCTAAACCCATTTGACAACATAATGTTGTCAAACTTCTCATGCCATTGCTTAGGTGCTTGTTTCAAACCATATAATGATTTGACAAGCTTACAGACTTTCTTATTTTTTCCTGGAGCTGAAAACCACTTGTGTTATTCCATATAGATTTCTTCATCTAAATCTCCATTTAAGAAAGCTGTCTTCACATCCATCGGATGTATCTTTAGACCACGTAAAGTGTAAGGGTGTAATTTTGGCCTGGGCCGGGTCGGACCCATGTCGGGCCTTGTGGGCTCCCGCCAAAAAATCGGGTTGGCCTGGGCCTGCCCACGAGCCAGAAAACTAGGCCCAGGCCCTAGCCCAGGCACAGGGGTATTCGGGCTTTGGGTGGGCAAGTGGGCCGGGCCTCGGGCCGGGCCCATGGGCTTAGGCAGGCCTAAACAATTTTTTTCTTTTAATTTTTCCCACCAAAATTTTATTATTTTCCACTAAAAAAGAATGGGCATCGGGTGGGCCGGGCCTTGAGCCGGCCAATGGGTCGGGCCGGGCTTCAAAACGATGGCCCAGGCCCTAGCCCAAGGCATCGGGCTAGGCTTGGGCTCGGGCCTTAACGGGCCGGGCCCACCTCGGGCCGCCCACGGGCCATGGGCCAAAATTACACCCCTAGTAAAGCGGTTATCACAATCACCATGCGAATGGATGTAATCCTTGTCACAGGTGAATACGTATCAAAGTAATCCAGGCCTTCTCATTACTTGTATCCCTTGATAACTAGTTTAGCTCTATATTTATCAATTGACCCATCAACCTTCATCTTTTTTCTAAAGATCCACTTACTCCCCAAGGCCTTACTGCTTGGAGGTAGATCAACTAACTCCCAAGTATTGTTCTGTAAGATGGAGTCAATTTTACTTTTAATAGCTTCTTTCCGTAGGGACTTTCTGGTGAAGTCACAGCTTCATGGAAAGTTCGAGGTTCTCCCTCTAACATATAAGTCAAGAAGTCCCGGCCAAAGGACTTGGCAGTCCTAGCCCTCTTACTCCTTCTTGGCTCATCTACTTCCTTATCTTGATCATTTATTGATCATCATCTTGATCATTATCTTGATCATCTTCAAGTTCATTTTCAGAACTTTGACTCTCTCCACAGGTTCGGCAAGGAAATATGTCTTCAAAGAAAGACGTGTTCCTTGACTCCATAGTGGTATTCTTGTGGATATCTGAAATATTAAACTTGTACACAAGAAACCTATATGCACTTGTAGACGTCCCCGAACGTCCCGGGACCCCCCCCCGGTTTTGTTCATATGGACTCACTACAGTTCGGACTCAAAAGTCACGGTCCTGTATCTAATCTCGTAGAGTGCAATGCAAGACCGATGAATCAATCCAAATCCGGCAAATCATTTTTTTGAAAACAGATTTTTTTAAAAGAAGTGTCAAACATGGACTGCTTTTCCAGATACAGAGTTGCCACCTAGATATTTTATTTTGGGAAATTTAGGAAACCCTGACTCGTTGCCTAAGGCCACGTGTCTGTCATCACCAAAGTTGCCTCGGCTCGGGAACTTGGGTACAATTGGGGAAGTCACTTCGTGAGCACCCCCGCTCGCCTGATCAAAGATCGGCCTCTACTAACCATGATATCTAGTTTTGAAAACATTATGCGTTCTTATTCCGGTTATTAGTCTAGATTTACTATGTGATGCGCACAGCATAAATCGCCTAATTTGAAACAAAGCATTGCATATCCGTTTGTTTGGAAATGTTTGAAGTTTGCTACTCGCAAGTAGGCTAAAATGCGGATTTCAATGAATTATCCCAATTCAAGTAATCCAACCTTCACCCACAGGCATTTAGACAGGTATATCACATAAGCATATAGCCACATGGTAGGCATGTTGTCATGTTAACATTCACACTCATGCGAGATACTAAAGCATAAAGACTCACATTGTATTCCAAGCCAAAACAGAGAACTCGTTAGCAATCATGCATGATCCAAGTCCATGTTAAGTGCCTAATGTATCGCATACAGAATGCAGTCTAGAATAGGCTCGGCTAATCCTAGGGCGGCATGTGAAATGCAACAGATAACACGTATTCAAGTTAGATTTGAAATACTATGCAGTTAGTATGGTGCGCCGAGCCCGGTGCATGCAATACTGATGAATGATGCAAACATGCATAGCATAAGGATGCTAATTGAAATGTGCCCTAGAACTAACCACTGAAAGCAGGTAAGTAAAGGGGAGAAAGACGTGGGGTTCAAAGACATGCATCACACACACGCACGCTTATTACAACATTGCCCCTCTCTCGGAGGGTCCGAATGAATAATACAAATTAATTAACTAACAAGCTAATTAAATATTACAGACCCTTAATTAATTAAACAAAATAATTAAATTACTGAAAGCAGTAAAACAGCCTCGGGGAGAGGGACGAATGGATGCATGCTCGGCACCGCTCGGAAATCCACCGCCATGTCACATGTTGCCTCTGTTTACATTGCTCTGCACCTCTGAGGACTGCGCAAGTCTCAAGGTTACTCCTAGACAGCTCCCTGAGCACTGTGGGAGGTCACCAACTAAGAGGAAACATCACCGGCCATGGATTTATGGTCATCGACCAAAAATTAGATCACCGACACTATTTTGGTAGCCGGCCGGCACTGAAAGTTGCCGACCGGCCATTTCTTCCTACAGAAGACTGGTTTGCTGCAACAGAGGACAGACAAGACATGGCAATGCATTTTCAAAGCAATTTATGCACCACCACCCTCCTCAGCATGTTTGAGACTTAGAGGAGCATGGTTCTCTCATGGTACCTTTTCATTTACTGGTGTGAATGTTTTTGACCTATTGCAACAAAAGACTTTTGGAATTCATGGTACCTTTTCATTTACTGGTGTGAATGTTTTTGACCTATTGCAACAAAAGACTTTTGGAATTCATGGTACCTTTTCATTTACTGGTGTGAATGTTTTTGACCTATTGCAACAAAAGACTTTTGGAATTCATGGTACCTTTTCATTTACTGGTGTGAATGTTTTTGACCTATTGCAACAAAAGACTTTTGGAATTCATGGTACCTTTTCATTTACTGGTGTGAATGTTTTTGACCTATTGCAACAAAAGACTTTTGGAATTCATGGTACCTTTTCATTTACTGGTGTGAATGTTTTTGACCTATTGCAACAAAAGACTTTTGGAATTCATGGTACCTTTTCATTTACTGGTGTGAATGTTTTTGACCTATTGCAACAAAAGACTTTTGGAATTCATGGTACCTTTTCATTTACTGGTGTGAATGTTTTTGACCTATTGCAACAAAAGACTTTTGGAATTCATGGTACCTTTTCATTTACTGGTGTGAATGTTTTTGACCTATTGCAACAAAAGACTTTTGGAATTCATGGTACCTTTTCATTTACTGGTGTGAATGTTTTTGACCTATTGCAACAAAAGACTTTTGGAATTCATGGTACCTTTTCATTTACTGGTGTGAATGTTTTTGACCTATTGCAACAAAAGACTTTTGGAATTCATGGTACCTTTTCATTTACTGGTGTGAATGTTTTTGACCTATTGCAACAAAAGACTTTTGGAATTCATGGTACCTTTTCATTTACTGGTGTGAATGTTTTTGACCTATTGCAACAAAAGACTTTTGGAATTCATGGTACCTTTTCATTTACTGGTGTGAATGTTTTTGACCTATTGCAACAAAAGACTTTTGGAATTCATGGTACCTTTTCATTTACTGGTGTGAATGTTTTTGACCTATTGCAACAAAAGACTTTTGGAATTCATGGTACCTTTTCATTTACTGGTGTGAATGTTTTTGACCTATTGCAACAAAAGACTTTTGGAATTCATGGTACCTTTTCATTTACTGGTGTGAATGTTTTTGACCTATTGCAACAAAAGACTTTTGGAATTCATGGTACCTTTTCATTTACTGGTGTGAATGTTTTTGACCTATTGCAACAAAAGACTTTTGGAATTCATGGTACCTTTTCATTGATCCAGATCTTTCTTTATGATTGAGCCTGGGATTTAAAATTTTCATTGATCTTTCTTAGAAAGTGGAACTTGTTAGTTTATTGCTGTTGTTATCTTCAGAATTTGAATGTGTGTTGTTAGCTTGTTTAAATTTATTTATTTATTTTTTTTCGTAGATTTTTAGGGTATGCTCCAGTTTATACCCAGATTAACACATTTTATTAGTTTTCTTGTATTCTAGGCACTAGCATTTTTTTTTTAAAAATTTCTGGCTATGTTGTATCAAAGTCAGTGCATTTACATTTTATAGTCATCTAATTCGAACAACTAGTATGCATTCATTTGCTCTTTTTACATTTTAGAAATGCAGGTGTCTCTATTGCTACTTTCCATTTTTATCCTTTCTAACGCGGCTGCTTTTTCCTCTTCTACAGTAAGCTTCAGAGTGATGCCTTGAGGGAAGCCATTACCAAAGTCCTCCTCCGCTACTCATCAGCTCTTGTTCAAGGTGCTGCAAATGTCTTCTGGTACGGATATTTGCATTTGCATGTTAAAAATAGCCATTATCTGGTAAATATTTGATGCTGTAAGTCATTGTTGGGCATATATTCAAACTGTAATCCACTGCTATCATTTTATCAACGCATGTTCGTTTCTCTGTTTGACTAAACTAAATCTCATAGGCAAGAATATAAATTTGGTAGCATCAACCATTTAAGTTGGATTGTTGTAGGATTCCAAAATTATAACCTAAAACTACTCTCTTATTTTCTCCATTTTCTTAGATCAAATGAAGCATTCCTACTGTTTTTAAAGCTATCATTTTCATTATGGAGGGTTATTATCTTGAGTCTCTTGACCATTAAATGAAAAGAAAATAATTGAAGGCAACTTTTCATCTAACGTGGAATGTTTCCCACTGGTTTAATAAGAGCATTATTTCTTAAGGATTATGCTAAGGTCACCTTTTAGTTTATGACGTTTCTCTCTATCTTTGTGAGAATTTGAGCTATTTATCTTTGTCAATTTTGGTCCTGTTACTGTTTTCCCAAGAAATGATTTCAAATGCATTGGCATTGTTGTTCTTGTTCATTTATGGCCTTCGTTTACCAGCTTGAAACTGGCTCAAGATGGCCTTCCCATTTTATAGGATTTTGTTTACTCCATTTTATATGGTTAGTGATTCAAACAAATGAGTGGTGGGAGAGAGGTGGATCTGTGAAACGGGGAACAGGGTGCCTAGCTACTCTGGACTGTCGGAACAAAAGGGCTTTACTCATTAGTACAGTGGAACTCTAGATTTTTAGAGGGTGGGAATGTGGAGGTTCACATTGGTCAGACACCTTTACCCGTGCAATATTTTACCCTTAATTTCATTGTTGGTAAGATACTGGATTGTCTAAGTTCTATCCAGTGCAAAACCGACAGACAGTCCAGCTTAGTTAAACGATGGTGCACCGCCCTTGTCCTTGACTGTTTCCTTCCCTTTATCCCTATTATCATCTGCAGGGACTATCTCTTATAATAAGTTTTTTGCAAAAACAAAAACTTTAAAAAATGGAAAATGAAAAAGAAGACAGAAATTGCTATTCTATAACATTAAACATATATATGCAGGATTGACATCCAAACAAACACAAGGCGTTTCCAATCTCTCTTCCGGGTACAATTCCTTTTTAGGATATGATAGTCTCTCCCCGACTATTTTATATTGTATGAAAGATGTGAAGATGCTGTTCTTCTTCTCTGATCCCCTTCCCTTGATTGATTCAGTATCTTCTGGAGGAAGTTGCTTTGGTGCCTGAGCAATTAAAGAAAATTCCCCTGCAGGTCAGGCATTGCTCATATATTTTTCACATGCTATCTTGTGTAGTGATGCCTTGATGGAAGCCATTACCAAAGTCTCTCTATGTACTCATGTATATATGTATGCTTATAATTGTTTGTATTTTAGTATCTGTGATTATGGCACTGATGGTGTGTTTCTATTGACAAGTTGCAGTTAAATTGGCTCAATGTTCAATTTGAAAAATGTCTCTTGTTTCAAGCATTTGACCTCTGCGAGAAGTTGGTGCTACATTCTAACATTCTCTTCTTCTGTGTTTCTCATGGCATATCTGCCTAGCCTTGCTCTTTCCCCTGGCATCAACCACAGCCACATCCCCCTCCGGCACCATCTCCTTCTCTGCCTACCCCAACCCTCACCACCAAACACTATCACCTCTTTCCACTTCATTGTCTATTCCCAACAGCCGAACACCACCACCAACCACTGTTCCAACGCTACCACCACAAAAACAACCCACCACCAAACCCTCTATCAACACCACCACAATCTAATCACCACCAACATTAAACTCAGTAGCTAGTATTACGGATGAATTAACCAAAATTCTTCTAGTGATGATTAGAGTCGATTACTTGATATTTTAATAACTCGGTACTTTTCATTTTTTACACTACTCTTTAGTTCTTCTCAATCAAACTCGAAGAACAACTGACAACCAAGTATTAAAGCAACTCAGACCTTTGATTGTTAATAGAGAGGTCATAATAATGTTGTCTGAATGGAAGAGAGAGGGAAGATGCATAGGGCAGTACTGTGGGGAAGTTGGAGGTGGGTTCGGTGGTGGAGTGAGTTTAATGGTGGTGATCCTGTGGATGGGGATTTCCTAGAATCAACTCGGTTTGTATTGAAATAGTGTTAATATATATTGTGAAGCTATAGAGAAGCAATTGTTTTCACTAGAACAAAAATGTAACCTCATTAGAGAAGCAATTGTTTTCACTAGAACAAAAATGTAACCTCATTAGAGAAGCAATTGTTTTCACTAGAACAAAAATGTAACCTCATTAGAGAAGCAATTGTTTTCACTAGAACAAAAATGTAACCTCATTAGAGAAGCAATTGTTTTCACTAGAACAAAAATGTAACCTCATTAGAGAAGCAATTGTTTTCACTAGAACAAAAATGTAACCTCATTAGAGAAGCAATTGTTTTCACTAGAACAAAAATGTAACCTCATTAGAGAAGCAATTGTTTTCACTAGAACAAAAATGTAACCTCATTAGAGAAGCAATTGTTTTCACTAGAACAAAAATGTAACCTCATTAGAGAAGCAATTGTTTTCACTAGAACAAAAATGTAACCTCATTAGAGAAGCAATTGTTTTCACTAGAACAAAAATGTAACCTCATTAGAGAAGCAATTGTTTTCACTAGAACAAAAATGTAACCTCATTAGAGAAGCAATTGTTTTCACTAGAACAAAAATGTAACCTCATTAGAGAAGCAATTGTTTTCACTAGAACAAAAATGTAACCTCATTAGAGAAGCAATTGTTTTCACTAGAACAAAAATGTAACCTCATTAGAGAAGCAATTGTTTTCACTAGAACAAAAATGTAACCTCATTAGAGAAGCAATTGTTTTCACTAGAACAAAAATGTAACCTCATTAGAGAAGCAATTGTTTTCACTAGAACAAAAATGTAACCTCATTAGAGAAGCAATTGTTTTCACTAGAACAAAAATGTAACCTCATTAGAGAAGCAATTGTTTTCACTAGAACAAAAATGTAACCTCATTAGAGAAGCAATTGTTTTCACTAGAACAAAAATGTAACCTCATTAGAGAAGCAATTGTTTTCACTAGAACAAAAATGTAACCTCATTAGAGAAGCAATTGTTTTCACTAGAACAAAAATGTAACCTCATTAGAGAAGCAATTGTTTTCACTAGAACAAAAATGTAACCTCATTAGAGAAGCAATTGTTTTCACTAGAACAAAAATGTAACCTCATTAGAGAAGCAATTGTTTTCACTAGAACAAAAATGTAACCTCATTAGAGAAGCAATTGTTTTCACTAGAACAAAAATGTAACCTCATTAGAGAAGCAATTGTTTTCACTAGAACAAAAATGTAACCTCATTAGAGAAGCAATTGTTTTCACTAGAACAAAAATGTAACCTCATTAGAGAAGCAATTGTTTTCACTAGAACAAAAATGTAACCTCATTAGAGAAGCAATTGTTTTCACTAGAACAAAAATGTAACCTCATTAGAGAAGCAATTGTTTTCACTAGAACAAAAATGTAACCTCATTAGAGAAGCAATTGTTTTCACTAGAACAAAAATGTAACCTCATTAGAGAAGCAATTGTTTTCACTAGAACAAAAATGTAACCTCATTAGAGAAGCAATTGTTTTCACTAGAACAAAAATGTAACCTCATTAGAGAAGCAATTGTTTTCACTAGAACAAAAATGTAACCTCATTAGAGAAGCAATTGTTTTCACTAGAACAAAAATGTAACCTCATTAGAGAAGCAATTGTTTTCACTAGAACAAAAATGTAACCTCATTAGAGAAGCAATTGTTTTCACTAGAACAAAAATGTAACCTCATTAGAGAAGCAATTGTTTTCACTAGAACAAAAATGTAACCTCATTAGAGAAGCAATTGTTTTCACTAGAACAAAAATGTAACCTCATTAGAGAAGCAATTGTTTTCACTAGAACAAAAATGTAACCTCATTAGAGAAGCAATTGTTTTCACTAGAACAAAAATGTAACCTCATTAGAGAAGCAATTGTTTTCACTAGAACAAAAATGTAACCTCATTAGAGAAGCAATTGTTTTCACTAGAACAAAAATGTAACCTCATTAGAGAAGCAATTGTTTTCACTAGAACAAAAATGTAACCTCATTAGAGAAGCAATTGTTTTCACTAGAACAAAAATGTAACCTCATTAGAGAAGCAATTGTTTTCACTAGAACAAAAATGTAACCTCATTAGAGAAGCAATTGTTTTCACTAGAACAAAAATGTAACCTCATTAGAGAAGCAATTGTTTTCACTAGAACAAAAATGTAACCTCATTAGAGAAGCAATTGTTTTCACTAGAACAAAAATGTAACCTCATTAGAGAAGCAATTGTTTTCACTAGAACAAAAATGTAACCTCATTAGAGAAGCAATTGTTTTCACTAGAACAAAAATGTAACCTCATTAGAGAAGCAATTGTTTTCACTAGAACAAAAATGTAACCTCATTAGAGAAGCAATTGTTTTCACTAGAACAAAAATGTAACCTCATTAGAGAAGCAATTGTTTTCACTAGAACAAAAATGTAACCTCATTAGAGAAGCAATTGTTTTCACTAGAACAAAAATGTAACCTCATTAGAGAAGCAATTGTTTTCACTAGAACAAAAATGTAACCTCATTAGAGAAGCAATTGTTTTCACTAGAACAAAAATGTAACCTCATTAGAGAAGCAATTGTTTTCACTAGAACAAAAATGTAACCTCATTAGAGAAGCAATTGTTTTCACTAGAACAAAAATGTAACCTCATTAGAGAAGCAATTGTTTTCACTAGAACAAAAATGTAACCTCATTAGAGAAGCAATTGTTTTCACTAGAACAAAAATGTAACCTCATTAGAGAAGCAATTGTTTTCACTAGAACAAAAATGTAACCTCATTAGAGAAGCAATTGTTTTCACTAGAACAAAAATGTAACCTCATTAGAGAAGCAATTGTTTTCACTAGAACAAAAATGTAACCTCATTAGAGAAGCAATTGTTTTCACTAGAACAAAAATGTAACCTCATTAGAGAAGCAATTGTTTTCACTAGAACAAAAATGTAACCTCATTAGAGAAGCAATTGTTTTCACTAGAACAAAAATGTAACCTCATTAGAGAAGCAATTGTTTTCACTAGAACAAAAATGTAACCTCATTAGAGAAGCAATTGTTTTCACTAGAACAAAAATGTAACCTCATTAGAGAAGCAATTGTTTTCACTAGAACAAAAATGTAACCTCATTAGAGAAGCAATTGTTTTCACTAGAACAAAAATGTAACCTCATTAGAGAAGCAATTGTTTTCACTAGAACAAAAATGTAACCTCATTAGAGAAGCAATTGTTTTCACTAGAACAAAAATGTAACCTCATTAGAGAAGCAATTGTTTTCACTAGAACAAAAATGTAACCTCATTAGAGAAGCAATTGTTTTCACTAGAACAAAAATGTAACCTCATTAGAGAAGCAATTGTTTTCACTAGAACAAAAATGTAACCTCATTAGAGAAGCAATTGTTTTCACTAGAACAAAAATGTAACCTCATTAGAGAAGCAATTGTTTTCACTAGAACAAAAATGTAACCTCATTAGAGAAGCAATTGTTTTCACTAGAACAAAAATGTAACCTCATTAGAGAAGCAATTGTTTTCACTAGAACAAAAATGTAACCTCATTAGAGAAGCAATTGTTTTCACTAGAACAAAAATGTAACCTCATTAGAGAAGCAATTGTTTTCACTAGAACAAAAATGTAACCTCATTAGAGAAGCAATTGTTTTCACTAGAACAAAAATGTAACCTCATTAGAGAAGCAATTGTTTTCACTAGAACAAAAATGTAACCTCATTAGAGAAGCAATTGTTTTCACTAGAACAAAAATGTAACCTCATTAGAGAAGCAATTGTTTTCACTAGAACAAAAATGTAACCTCATTAGAGAAGCAATTGTTTTCACTAGAACAAAAATGTAACCTCATTAGAGAAGCAATTGTTTTCACTAGAACAAAAATGTAACCTCATTAGTGAAGCAATTGTTTTCACTAGAACAAAAATATCATAGCAGCACAAATGTTTATATAATTGGATAACAATCTTTATGTCATGTACAAATAATCTACACACAACTGCAATTTTCTAAAGGTGCAGGCTTTCTAAATTCAAATAATTAAAAGATTTATCATCATCATAATCTAAACTTCCAAACAAAAACCAAGATAGAAACTTACAGTCATAGAATTGGAATGCCATGCCACCAGCTTCAATGGCAACACTCACGGGTTGATTTGCCACTGCCTTTTGCAATGCCTTCTCGTTGTTTTCAGGAACATCTTCATAATCATCAATTCTAACAACCTTTGTATTTTTCTGTATAAACAATAATTCATTCACAAAGAATGATATGAAGTCTTGGTTTTTTTCACCATGTACATTTTTCTTGATCACTCAATTAAAGAAGAACTTGATTCAAACCCTGTATTGGTCGCATGTCCCATCTCTAGCTTTATAGGGGTAATCTTCCTCGCTGTCAATACCACCATTGTTGATGATGAACTCAAAAGCATAGTCCATGAGACCCCCATCGCATCCTTCGTTATAAGATTTATCACAGTCCACTAGCTCTGGTTCTGATAGCGAGATCAAATCGCCAGTCACAATCTTGTTAATCCCTTCCACAGCAATTGTTGAAAATGCCCAGTAACTCCCTTCATTTCCAATCAATCAATACACATTATTAAATCACAACACAATGCTTACGGAAATATGAATTAAGTCCACAAAAACTTTGGTTGAATCTTTTTTGTCTTTCCGTCCTCTCTGTTTCTTGTTTTTTTTGTTCCTTCCCACAAAGAGTTGAGGGCTTCGTAATTAGATTATACTTTGAACAAATCATTAAGGTTGATGTTAATTCCATAAAATGAAGTATTAGTTTCAAGCCATTGACTCTCAAGATGGAATCTTTCCCTTGTAATCTACATCCTTCTTAGCATGGAACCTGAGAAGACAATTTTCAAAAATAAGTTTTCAGTTAAATGAGCATTATAGCCTTTGTTATTTTTCAATTTAAAATTGCCATGAATCTTTTAATCTAAGTTGATTTAATTCAAATTCCAAGTTAATTAACCAAATATAAATGTGCAAAAAAGGAAAAATCAATCAAATCAAGAAATTACGTGAAAAAATCCAAAATGGAAAAAAATAATAATAAATAAACATGGACAGAAATACTATAATCAAGATCAAGCACAAAACTTACAAAAAAATCCAAAACGCAAATATCCTAACTACTCAACACCCAATTTCGTAATCCGATTTGCCACATCTATCCAATCTCACACTTGTACCTTTACATCCGATTTTTTATTCACCCAAAAAAAATCTTCACTAGTTACATCAACCACACGCATGTAATTCTCCAAGCTTCAAATTCAATCAATGTATATGCATAATACAAACTCAACTCTGTGTTCAAATTCCGAACAAATAAGCCAAGCAGACATGTATAAAAATGAAACCTATTAAGGGAACAAGGACTCAAAAATACAAAGAATTTTGTTCAGACAATCCATCCTTTCTTTTGAACTGTGAGGCCTTGTTAATCCCATGAATTAGTGTAGGATTAGTTATCCAATTAAATTAGTAACATAACCATTTATTATGTATTTATTATTTTATTTTTTTCATACTTGAAATTATAATCCCAACCCCTCTCAATATTAAAAATAAGTTAATTTCGTCAAATTGAATATCCGCCGTACCTGTAATCTGATTAATAAAATTTGCAATCAAATATGAGATGGGGAGTCTCTCTCTCTCTCTCTCTCTCTCTAGAGTTTGTGAGATCCAAGCTAGGGGTGGCTAGAAATTAGGAGGAAAGGAGGGGACTAGCGGGGCTGGGGATGGTTGGCTCTGAGGGGACCCCTCATTTATTTTCATTCTCTTTCTCTGCATGTTTTGTTTATTTTATTTTATTTTTAATCCAAAAACAACGCTCTTTTGGCAATACTCTAGGAACTACTATAAGAAATCTACTCTAGAGGATCCTTGCGCAAAAGGCATAACTCTAATATGTCTAAACATCTTCTTCATGTCTTTCTTCACGGCTAGCTGTTAGCATTGTAATTGAAACTTCCAATTAAGAGCACCAAATCTTCAACAATCCAGAACTACAAATGCACACAATTTCCACGTTGGATCTTCTATTCTAATGTTTTGTCCCATTTTTTTGTGTACTATTGGATCGTTTGCAATTGAAACCAAACTAAATGACAAGGGAGAAAAATCTAGCGGCACAAATTGTGAGGGATAGTGATTTTTGAATAAGAAAGCCTGTGCCTAGTTTATTTGTCTCTAATGAAGTTCATGACAACGTGTGATAGTATAGGAAGAATGAGATTTCGGGGAACGGAAATAAGATTTTGGGGAGAGAAGACTCAATTCTATGTCATGCTCTAATCTTACAGTTTTATCTTTTTCATAACTAAAGTCTAGATAAAGAACAAGATTATGTGTTAAATAGTTTCACAGACAATATGTAAAAATCCATCTCAAATTTTAAAAGTATGAATCCTTCCTATCTATTAAGTCTCGTTTGGGAGTTGATTTTTTTTTTTAATAGTGTTTTTTGATTTTTTTTTTATGAGTTGTAAAAAAATGTTTTTTAGAAAAAAAAAAAATTCGAAATAAATTTCTGAAAATTAAATGAAACATGGCTAATTTCTTTGATAATGGTTTTTGTTAGTTGTATCGAAAACTATGATTTAGATTTTTGAATTTTTTTATACTTTTTTTAATTTAATTTTTTTATACTTCTCGGCTATTTTAGTCAAAATGTCAAGTTATCAAACGGCACGTAAAGCACATAATGAACATTTGGGGTAATAGTAAAAAAAAATTAAAAAAAAAAAAAAAAGTACTAAACTATTTGTCATCAACTAAAAAAGCTAAGGGATTGTTTGGGATATTCTAAATAAGTGTACTTTTTAACTTTTTGAACTAAAAAGTTAAGGAAAAAAATATGGTTTTTTGGATCAACTTTTCGACTTTTTACGAAAATATATATATTAAAAAATTATATAAATTAATGTATAGGAGAAGTTTGGGCAGAGTAGGCAGTACAGTGGGCAGAGTAGTGTATAGGAAAAGCTTGCCTCCTTTTCAGGCATTAAATTAGATGGTGCAATTCGGCCCATGGGGGCCCACCACGGGTCCCATTTTGCTAATCGGAACCGTTTAATATGTAGAACTCGTTGAATACTATATGCTTGTAAAAAAATCACATTAATCGGATATCGATAGCTATCTGATCAAATTAGTTTTTTGTCAACCATTAACTATAGAACCAGTCATTTTTTATACAAAACTGATTTGATCATGCAGTTAGCGATATCTGATCAACGTGATTTTTTACAAGCACATATTACTCGACGATTTCTACACATTGAACGGTTCAGATTATCAAAACGGAACTTGTGATAAGCCCCCACGAGCCAAACAGTACCATCTTGTTTGCTTCTCCGCCTGTGTCCCTTTGTACAAACGGTGGGTAGCTAAAGTACAACTCACGTGACATGTGAGTTATACTTTTTTTTTTAAATTAATTTTTTTATATATATATTTTTTTTTTGTGAATAGTGATAACTTTCTAATTTTTTTAGTAACTTTTTAGTTTTTTGGTTTTTTTGAAGTATGCCAAACCAGCCCTAAATATTACATCAATTTTTTTCACTTACTAGTACATATGGTCATTTTCCCTTGCTTTGCTCCCGCTACATATCTTGCCTCGCTCTGCATGGGTTTTCCCTGCTCTGATGAAAAAGTGGGGCGGGTACGAGTTTTGCTTCCCCCACCCCGATTATATTTATTAAATATATTTATATGTATATAATATAATTTTTTTCATTATAGTAAAATTAAAGCACTAGAATATTATACTTAATATTAATTTTTAATCATTTATTTTCTATTTTATTTGTTATAATTCTTATTAGATGTATTTATATGTATGTAATATATATATATATATATAATTTAATTTTTTTTTCTTTATAATAAAATTAAAACATTAAAATATTATTCTTATTAGTAATTTTTGCTCATTTATTTTATATCTTATATCTTATAATATTCATTAATTATTGTGAAAGGCAAAAATAGAGTTTCATTCTGAGCAGAAAATGTGCAGAATCTGAGCAGGATTTACACATAGTAGAATTAAATCGAGCAAAGACGCTTTGACAAGCAAATTAGCAGGTCCATAAGACCAAGGGACCAGGACTAGAGGTCCAAGTCCAAACATGCAGGTTCAAGGCTAGAGGACCAGATTCAGAGGTCTAGGACCAGAGGACTAGATTCAGAGGTCCTGGATCAGAGAAGACCAGAGGTCCAGGTACAAACATGTAGGTTCAGGACTACAGGACCAGATCCAGAGGTCCAAGACCAGAGATGACTAGGGGACCAGGACCGGAGGTCCACATTCAGACATACGGATCCAAGGCCAGAGGACCAGGTCTAGAGATCCAAGGGACCAAGCCCAGAAAACCAAGTCCAAAAGGCATAGCCCTAAAGGGCAGACTTGGGCAAAGCTTGGTCCTTACTTTATGGGCTAACTACTCTTAGAGATCTGCACTAGTAGAACATGATCCAACAAAAAGTTAGCTAAACGTGAGGAGTGGCAAGGGAAGTGGAACCAATTCCAACAGTCATTTTAAAGGCTATATACACCAAGTGAGGGGGAAAAAAAAAAAGAAGACAATTAATTACCACCACTTTCGATTGCTCTTATTATTAAATTTTCTTACTCCATAACTTTCAAGTTTACTAACTTAAGCATCAGAGAGTCCTCTTGCTTCCCATCAGTCGAGTTCTTCATATTTGTTTAAGTGTTTAAGATGAGGTTCAACCGTGTTCATGCCTTCAATTTTTTGCCACCATAATTTGGCATTGTCTATGGGAAACTTGAAATGAAAACTACTTTAAGTTCATTCATTTTTCAATCATCAATGGCGCCAGAAAATGTCATTCTACCAACCGATGAAGAACATGATGTTTTACGCTCTCCGGTTCAACAGAGGTGCCTGTTAGACATTGAAGCTCCACGTGAACAACATAAGCATGAAGTCCACGACCTGCCCATGAAAAACTAAGCAAAATGCAACATCTTGCTGCATGAGTTAGTTTAGAGAGACAAAGTCATCAATACAATTGAAAAATGACTCAAAGAATTGTCCGAACAGGTAAGACCTTTGAAGCAAAGTCAAATTCAATCACAGATTAGGAGGCAACACGTCGCCCTAGAAAAATGCCTTAGGGCAGCTCAGGACTAGAAATCAGCTCCGGCTGAGCAACCAAAATCAGCTCAGATTAAGCAACTAGAATCAGCTCAAAAAAAGCAGCATGAATCAATTCAGATCCAGCAGTATCCGAGCAAAACATCTTGCTCTTGTACCTGTCCTAACAGAACATCTTACTTTAGGACCTATTCAAGCAGAACATCCTGCTCCTACACCAATTTGAGCATAATAGCGTGCTCCTGCACCAATCCGAGCAAAATGGTGTGCTCTTGCACCAGTTCGAGCAGAACATCCTGCCCATGTACCTATCCCGAGTAGAACATCTTGCTTCTATACTTATTCGAGCATAACATCTGGCTTCCATACCTATCCAAGCATAACAGCGTGCTCCAACATTCGTCCTAGCGGAACATCCTACTCATGCACCTATCCCAGCAGAATGATGCGCTTCAACAACTGTCCAAATAAAATTGCACACTCAAGCACCCACCCGAATAGAATAGTGGAATTCAGCACCTGTCTAAAGAGCATTTGAAGGAATTGTGGTATGGACAATAGAACTAAGGCCTGCTCTGATCACTTCTCCTTTCAGTAGAAGGATTAATAACATAGAGCCTCCAAAAAAATTTAACATCCTATAGTTTGAGCTCTACAATGGTCGATCAGATCCCTTGGACCATCTTCGTCACTACCGCCATGTAAGGTATTCTCATCCAGCCTAAGGAAAGTAGCCAGCCAGTGGTTTAACAAGCTCATGAAGGGTTTATTGACAGCTGGCAATAACTGTCAGAGAGTTATGTGAAGCGCTTTGTGACCAACGTCAAGCGTGCTAAGGAGGTGAACACTTTGCTCACCCTTTCAAAAACTTATTAATCAAACCCTCATGCAATACTCTCTACTTTACTAGGAGACCTTTTATGAAGTTGAGGAGGACTATTCAAACCAAGTAGCAGTGGCCACATTTAAGCACGACTTGTCACTAGAAGATAAGTTATGGTAGTCCCTTTCCAAGAAACCAACAAGATGAGTTATTGATCTATTAATTAGGATTGACCAGTACAGCAAGCTCAGAAAATTTCTGAATAGCTATTGGTTCAAATGGATGAAAGTTAGACAATGTAGCTTGAATTGTAGTTATGTTCTTTCACTTAGACGTAATTTCCAACAACTCCCTAAGTACAAGAAAGTTGGACAATCCAGCTCATATTGTAGTTATGTTCTTTCACTTAGGCGCAATTTCCAGTAATTCCCCAAGTACAAGAAAGTTAGACAATTTTGCTCGAATTGTAGTCATGTTCTTTCACTTAGAAGCAATTTCTAACAATTCCCTAAGCACAAGAAAGTTGAACAATCCAACTTGGATTGGGATTGTAGTTATGTTCTTTCACTTAGGTGCAATTTCCAACAATTCCCTACAAGAAAGTTAAACAATCTAGCTCGGATTGTAGTTATGTTCTTTCACTTAGGTGCAATTTCTAGCAATTCCCAAAGTGTAAGAAAGTTTGACAATCCAGCTTAGCTTGTAGTCGTATTCTTTCACTTAGGCATAATTTCCAACAATTCCCTAAGTACAAAAAAGTTAGACAATCCAGCTCGGATCATAGTTACGTTCTTTCACTTAGGCGCAATTTTCAACAATTCCTTAAGTACAAAAAAGTTAGACAATTCAGCTCGGATTGTAGTTATATTCTTTCACTTAGGCGCAATTTCCAGCAATTCTCTAAGTACAAGAAAGTTAGACAATCCAGCTCAAATTGTTGTGATGTTGTTTTACTTAGGCGCAATTTTCAATAGTTCCCTAAGTACAAGAAAGGTAGACAATCCAACTTGGATTGTAGTCATGTTCTTTCACTTAGGCGCAATTTTTAGCAATTCCCTAAGTACAAGAAAGTTCGACAATCCAGCTTGGATTGTAGTCATTGTTCTTTCACTTAGGAGCAATTTCTAGCAATTTCCTAAAGTACAAGAAAGTTAGACAATCCAACTTGGATTGTAGTTATGTTATTTCATTTAGCCACAATTTCTAGCAATTCCTTAAGTACAAGAAAGTTGGACAATCTAGCTTGGATTGTAGTTATATTCTGTCACTTAAATTGCTTAAGTATAAGAAAGTCGGTTAATCAATAACTGAACTTTTCTGCTCTACTATGGATAGTTCTATGCCTTGGATGAACTCCAACTTCCCCCTACAACTAGGCTTAGAGAAGTCGGAGTTGGAGGGCAGTTATGGAAGGCAAAAATAAAGAATTTCTTTCGAGCAGAAAATGTGTTGAATCCGAGCAAGATTTGCACATAGTAGCATTAAACCGAGCAAATACACTCTGAAGAGTAGAATAACAGGTCCATAAGACCAGAGGTCTAGGTTTAGACATACAGATTCAGGACTAAAGGACCAGATCTAGAGATCCAGGACCATAAAAGACTAGGGTACCAGGACCAGAGGTCGAAGTCCAAATATGTGGGTTCCAAGTCCAGGTCCAGACATGTAGTTTCAGGACTAAAGGACTAGATCCAAAGGTCCAGGACCAGAGAAGACCAAGGGACCGGGACCAAGACCAGAGGTCTAGGTCCAGACATGCGGGTCTAAGATCGGAGGACCAGGTCTAAAGGTCCATGGGACCAGGCCTAGAAAGCTAGGTCTAGAATGTGTAGCCCTATGGGCCACACTTAGTCAAAGCTTGATCCTTACTTTATGGGCCAACCACTCCTAAAAATCCGTGCTAGTAGAACATGATCCCACAAAAAGTGTGCTGAACATGAGGAGTGGCAGGAGAAGTGGAACCAACTCCAACAGTTACTTTAAAGGCTATATAAAGCCATACCAAGTGAGGAAAATGGTAGACAATTAATTACCACCACTTTAAACTGCTCTTATTCTTATATTTTCTTATTCTATAGATTTCAAGTTTACTAACTTCAGCATCGAAGAGTCCCCTGGCTGCCTACCAGCCGGATTCTTCATATTTTCTCGAGTGTTTCAGGTGAGGTTCAACGGTGTTCATGCCAGAGCACTGCCACAGTTAAGGTGGTTCAATTTTTCGCACCACAAGTATAAATCATTATTCGTAATATAACATATTATCTATAACTTTTTATTAATATTATCATTCTTTAACTCACAAAATTAACCTACCTCTAACCCGATCCGTACTACCCCCTAATTTGCTCTGTTTCCTACCCCGTCCCTGCCATCCCCAATTTGTTTCATCCCCAAAATGATATGAGCTGAGAACGATTCCTTCGAACTCACCTCAAACCCGACCAGTAACCTTTCCCACTCACAAGAAAATAGGTTTTTAAGAACTACTAAAAAAGTCAACCTAAACCCAAATCCACTTTTAATTCAATGAGTTTGGGAAAAGGAAAAATGGTAAGAAAAGAAGAGGACTTTAAAGGAATTTTATTTAAAAACCAAAAAAAATGTAAGACTTATTTGACATTTTTTACTAAGAAAATTGAAAAACATTAGATAATTTTTTTTAGTAATTTAATTTGGTTAGG